GAAAGAAAGAAAGAAAGAAAGAAAGAAAGAAAGAAAGAAAGAAAGAGTTGTGAGCAGGCACTGTCAACCTGCTGTGAAGTTAGTATTGCCAGGTGAACCTTCTGCAGAAACACTTCAGTTTTGTTTTCAGGGTCAGTGTAAATTAAGGATGTTTCCTAGTTGTGCACAGATGAAGGAAACTTCTTCAGTTCTGACAATTGTTTAAGAATGTAACGGTAAGCTTAGGTTTTTAAAAAAGCTTGTAATTTGGGCCTTTGTCATTTGCTCTAAACAAATACAAAAGAAAATAAATGTCAGTGTGTTTGGAGCAAAAAAAGTAAATGAAAACTGTTAAAAATAGATTATTATTATTATTATTTTAATCTGGAGCTTTAGTACTTCTTTGTGTTGAGCACTTCAGCAACCAAGTGTTGACTTCGTTAACTTTTCAATTTTGTAATCCCTTTATTTTATTAATTATTTTATGTTAATTAGTTGTTTGCTTTATTCCCTTGTACTTGACTTAGGTCGTCCAGCTGGTTTATGTTCTAGTTTTCCATTTTTTATATTGGCCTACTTCTTCTGGCCAACCTTTTCACACTGTAACATAAGGTGTGGTCTACAGAGCTTACACTGGAGAATCATGCCCCCCAAAATAACATGTAATATTTTCAATAAGTTCATGATTTTGTGGGGCTGAATTCATAGCTCTCCTAGAATATATGCGGCCCATGGGCCACACACGCATGAGTAACTGGAATATTGAAGTTTTCATTATTGCATTATCAATGTCTCCTTTCTTTTCTCTACATTCCTGCATCATGTATTTTTTGTTACTCTAGTATTAGGGTTATATATAATATATGTATATAGAATATGTGAATATATACATATAAGTATATATATGCACACATGTAAATACATCTTTGTTTATAACTATTATAGCTTTCTTGAAGGATTGACGGATTTATAATTTAAAAGTCACCTCTTTATGTTTTGCCTAATGCACAGCTATGTATGTCTCTAGTTGGTGACTGGTGCTCCTATCTCCTTGGACTTTGAATCTATCTGCATATTTGTAGCTAAAGAGTCTTTCTGTTGTGCAAGAAACAGTTGGATCATGTTTTCTTTAAAACGCCATCCTAAACCTCTCAGCTTTGATTTAATTGCTTAGTTCGCTCGCACAGGAAGTTTCTATTGTGTGTATTTTATCCAGTGTGTTGGTCATACTTTCCATTTCCTGTGTATGCTGCATAATTTTTGCTGGAAAGTGGATATTTTTTATTACATATTTAAGTAACGCTGGGAACTTGTCCTTTCCCAAGGCTTGCTACTACAATTTTTGTATGTGTTTAGCAAATAATGGATCGCTTCAGTTAAGTCTCTTCTGCATCCTTTTCTTTTCCCCATCTTTCCTGTACAGAGCAGTCAGCCTCTGGTGCTGTCTTATCCAGGACCCATAGCACTGACTCTATTGCATGGGGAGACCCTGACATCCCTGTAATGCTGAAGGTTTCTCCTCAGCCCTTGCTGGACTCCTGCCAGCTGTTAGGCTCTGCTAAGTTCTAGACAATGCAATTTCTCAGCAAAGCCATCATATATAAACGCCTCCTGGGTGGTTCTCATCTGTAGAGAACCACCCTGAACTTAAATATCATACCTATGTGTGCATTTTACAATATATTTTTGCTTACAGCCCTTTTGAAGATATCTTTGCTGCTGTGCACTTATTTGTGTAGGTTGGATTTTAGCTATTTCTTGGGCCTTATATTTATCAAGACTGAATAAGTCTAAGATAACAGGTAAACATTTGTGACTTCACTACTGTCGGCGATGTATAAATGTGCTTTATGTATTTACTATTTTGTTTTTGGCTTTTTGAGACAGGGTTTGTCTGTGTAATCACCATGGCTGTCCTGGAAGTGCTTTGTAGACCAGGCTGACCTCGAACTCACAGAGATCCTATTGCTTATGCTAGGATTAAAGTCAAGAACCACCACTGCCCAGCTAAACATGCATTTTATAATGTGGAATGTTTCCCTTTCCTTTTCAATAGTTTTCCTTGTTTCGTTCAGCTCTTTCTCTGGAGAGAGCCTAGGAGCTGAAGCAAGGCCTTTGACTCTTTAAAGTTAACCCACCATGCCCACCACCACCACCCGCAAAGCACTAGGCTGAGAGTGATGCAAAAGCAGGAACCCTATCTTGGTCCTCGAAGGCCACCACTGAAGCAGAGAAGTTGAATTTTTTTTTTTTTTTCAGACCTAGTCGGGTTTCTAGATAGACAAAGGTACGCGACACAAACCGCAGAGAAGGAAGTCTTGCCGTGAAGGTTGGAATGTGGGTCTCTGTGTGTTTCCGGAGAAGCGACCTCAACCTCCAGGTTTCCAGGTGCCTCCGCCTCTTCCCCACTCAGCCACGCACCCCTGCCCAAGCCTCCCTCCTGCGATCCTGCATATGCTTTCCTGCTAAACGACTCTTCCCCCGGTTATCTCCTCACGGGGTACATCTGCTGGGTGCCTAGCATCCTCAGCTCCGCTTTCATCTTTTCGTGTCTCAACACATTGTTTCCTGCAGTCCTGATGGCGGTGTGGAAGGGAGCCATCCCACCCGGCCGCGCTTTGGGATTGGCAGCGAATGAATGATTGGCAGCGGGCATCTCCGTCAGAGCTTTGGCATGCCGCAGAGTGGGAGCCCCGTGCTAATGAATGCCATCTACACCTACCAGATGTGCCACTGGGTGACTTGCCAGGTCGTTTACATAATGCCATTCTGCCGGACACGAGACAGCTGGGGGTGGGGGTGTCTTTTGATGCCTTGGGATAGTAGTGGGTCTGTCTTCCGTTTATTTCTTTTTCTGTTTTTTGTTTTGTTTTGTTTTGTTTTTTAATTCAGACTAGCCTCCACCGTCCATAAGCCCGGTCTGCCCCCATTAGGTTCCCTAAAGACTGTAATGCTGAGGATGTTTAGAGACAGCTCTAACGTGAAGAAACTTGAGTTGACTTGAATATGTCCCCTGGGTCCCACACACACAAACCGCCTCTTCTACTTCCTTGAGTTTACTGACGGCTGGCATCACTTGAGAAACTGCTCAGGAGTGTGTAGAAGGAATTAAAACACCTAGATCTGAAATGAAAGGAGGGCAGGGGAGATCACACACACACACACACACACACACACACACACACACACACACACACGCATGAGCACGCATGAGCTTCTCGCACTTCCGTGGCCCCTCTGGCTCTCCTCTCTTCCTCCACCCGCAGGAAACTGAAGACTGTTTTCCCCAAGGGAGATTCCTTGCCCGGTGCCTGTCTCAAGTTCTGGATAAAGTGTGGAGGTACCGAAACGACACGTCTTTTGGGAAAGGATGAGTCCTGGAGTAGGATGGGCTATGCCAGGGACACTAGAGGCCACTTTAGACCAACAGCGACCTTCTGTCTGGGGGTTGAAGGTCTCCACCCTAGAGGAAGAACTGCGAAGCTCAGGGTACGCCAGAGTGTCCCCTACGTTTCCGCCACATCTACCCCAAAGGGGAAGCCCCAATCTGGGAGAACTGTGGAGCGCAGACCGCGGATAACTCCCAGGAGTCACACCTTGCTCACACTCGCCCTCCCACAGCTCTGAGGCCACAGGCGCCGCGGCCACCCAGCGCTGCCCCCACGCGCCGGCCGCCGCCCTTGGCCTCGGGTCTCCCCGGCAGGGCCGGTCCCTCGCACTCGCGCCCCACCCGCCGCCAGGCTCCAGATGGCGGCTCCCTGCGCTCGGCTTGCGGACCCAGACGCCACCCCGCAGCAGCGGGCCGCCGCTCCCTCCCTCCCAGCTGCTGCCGACCAGCCGGGGACAGAACTGAGCGCTTAGGCTGGGACTGGGGCGGAACCGCCGTGACGACTGGAAGGTCGGCTCCCCCAGAACGAGCGCCTAGCGTTCCGCAGGTAAGAAGGCGGGGACGCGCACTGGGTTGCGAGCCAGGGCCAGAACTCTGGCGACCACCCGCACTCTCCCTTGACCTTCCTCCACCCCCACCCCCCTTCATCCAGAGAGTGGAGGGCGGGGCCGGAGCTGGACCACCCGTGGGACAGCCCGGAGCGGCTGCGTAGCCACCAGGAGAGGGCGCCCAGCACCTAGAACCTGCTCTGGAGGCAGTTTGTGGTCCGGGCGCCGCACCCCGGCGCAGAGGAAAACTGCTTCCACCAGAAGGACTCCCCCTTCCTCCCGAGAGTGGTAATGCCCACTACCGTGCGAGACTTTCCACTTCCTCGTCTTCTTCTCTTCTCACTGCCCCCAGCTCGCTTTCCATTTTCTATCCTCTCCCTCTCATTTGCTTTCCTCTTTCTCTCTCTCTCTTCTCCTCTGCCCTCCCCTCCCCTCTCCTCCCCTGCCATCTCCTCCTCTCCTCTCCTCTTCCCCCCCTTTCCTCTCCATTCCTCTCCTCTTTTCTTTACCCTTCTCCCTCCCCTCCCCTCTCCTCCCCTCTCCTGTTCTTCCCTCTCCTTCTCTCCTCTCCTCACTCCTTCCCTTTCCTCTCCCCCCTCTCCTCTTTTTCCTTCCCCCTCCCCCTAACCCACCCCCGCGCTGACCTTGTTCTCTCTCGGTTCCCTCCTCCACCCTTGTATTTTGATAATTTCCCCTACAATCACATCCCTACAATAGCCCGGGAGGGTTTTGTCTGCCCCTAGGAGACGCTGTGGGTGGAGGGCGATGGCTTTCCTGCCCAGACTTGTTGCTCTGTACAATGCCACCCTGGGTGATGAGTCTAGCACTGGTCCGGGAGAAGGACAGCTCCTCCGGGTCGTTGGGCTTTTCCTCTGATGACGATGGGAGAAACCGGGTGTTGATTTTGGGAGTGAATGTTATAGTGGGGAGCAGCGCATCTTTTAGAATGTGGAGCTCCGCGCTCCCCTTGCTAGACAGAATAGGTGCAGTTCAGTCACCTGGTACTGAGTTCCCTCCTCATAACGCACTCAGGACTTCCCTTAAAGAAGACACCCTAAAGTCACCTCCCAAACCTCCCTGTTTCTACCAAAGCAGGGGCGGAGGGTAGAGGTCTTGATGCCTCATCCCTGAGCTCCTATTTGAGGTCCCCCGTAACCCGCAAGGGTCCCGGCGCGTGCCTACGGTGTCCTCGGGCTCGCTGCGCGGCAGCCAAGGGGCTTTAGACACCCCCCCCCCCCCAGCAGGTTCCGTAAGCCCTCAGAATAAATCCCCTCGGAAACATTAATCACAAAGACCAGCGGGTGCAAACTGTGAGCCCACGCGGTGTCTGCCTTTTAATCCCTCGCGTAATTCTGAAAAGCGGCATAGCACAGAAGCTCTGCTGATCACGAAGCCTTGGCCAAGACAAGAGAATAGAAGAGTGGAGAGAAAGAAGCAGTCAGGGGAGACAAGGGGGAGACTGTAAAGTGACCCCAGTCAGGAGCCCAGAACTTGCGGCGGGGGGTGGGAAGGCGGTGGGCAGGAGGGAGACGCTGAGCTAGGCTGGGAGCCGGAGTTGGAACCCTGCTCTTTCCCTTCTAGGCTTCGAACCTCCGTGACCTCACGTGGGTGCTGACCTCTTGTTTGGGTCAGCTTGCAAGAAGCAGGGTCAGCCCCTCCGGGGCTTGTGGCTCGCACCTGAGATTTCACTATCATGTCGTTCAATTAATCGTATTTCACTTCTCCCGTTTTATTCAAAACCGTCTTCCAGTTTCCCTCATAATCGTAATTTGCGCCATTGCCTTTTATCTTTGATTAATTAGAAAGCGGAAAAATGATAATGGAGGGTTGGACCAATAAATTAGCTTGGGGAACAGACGGACCGACGTCCGGGGTGGCTGTGTGTGTGGGTGGGCGCTGCAGGAGGGGGTGTGGCCGCCGCCAGAGTGCGAAATGCCCGGGCTAGGACCACTGTCTGCCCTAAGAACTCTCGTTTGAGCCTGCGCTTGGAGAGAGCGGAGAGTGAAGTGGGATTTCCCTTTCTTTCTGAGGCCTGGCCTTACCAACTAGGGCCCGGGTTTGGAACTGCCCCCGTTGAACACACGTCTTCAACCAGGAACTAGGGAGTTGCCATTGCCTTTTGCACTCCTTCCTCCTCTCTGCCCTCATTCGGAGAGAGACTAAGAGAATCTAAAAATCAGCCCCGTGGCGATTTTAGAGGCGAGGCCCATTGCACCCCTTTTCTCCCTCCACAAAATCGCTCACGCCTCCAGACGGCTGAACGAGGGGAGAGCGCTTTGCTGCTCTTCACGGCTTCGCCCCAGCCTCTTTAGCTTTCAATTGAAAACCAATTAAAGGTTTCTATAAATCTGTTAGCTCCCCTTTTATCTGGAGACCCCTGATGCATGCGGTATTGCCCTTTGGATGCCTCTTCCGTGTTTTGTTTTACAATTGTTGTATCAATATAATGCGGCCTTTCTTCTCCTGTCTCTATAGATACAGACACACAAGGAAAAGCAGAGCTATTCAGGCTCATTTGTCCAGGAGCCTAGCAGCGGTGCCCTTTCTCTGCGGCTGCTTTCCCTGCTTCGGGAACAGCAGTTATGGTAGAAGCAGATGGCTGCTGATTGGGGGAGCTTTGTGGCTCTAATGCTGAATACTTTATGGAAAAGGACTTTATCATGCTTGGTTGGGCAGAGGAACAAGGGGTTGAGATTTATGGCCAGGAAAAATAAATCTTTTTCCAAGTTGTGGCTCCTTCTCACCAGTGTCTCCTTTGCCCCTGGGGTCAAACACTAAGGAATTGGTTTGATTTGATTTGATTCGCTTTTCTGCTAACAGCATTTTTTTTTTTAAGTCAGGATCTGTGTGGAGAGTGCACAGAGAGACAGAAGTTTATGAAATACCCTGGGCGGCTGGTGCCATTTCACTGCAGGGCGAAGAGCAGAAGCATGTGTAGTTAGATGCTGTCTGAGGCCACGTTTTCCTGTGTGTCTTGCTGAGTGAGGCGTCAGTGCTGATTACCAGATCATCAATAAGAACAAGAAAGGGAGGGGGATGCTCCCACAGCCAAAACCAGAGGAGGACACTGATCTCAAAGGCGAGGGGAAATGACAAGTAAGGAGAGACTAGTGTGCTTAACGCTTTGAAAGGGTTAGTTAAAGGGTGTATGTGAATACAACTTTTTTTTTTTTAGGCTGAAATTTAAATTCAATGGTTGGGGGGAGGGGGCAGTCCACAGAGTGCGGCCTTCTACTACAGGCCAAATTCACCTCAACATGTATCCCTATCATTCACCTTCTTTCCTCTCCTGAGTTTGGTTTCTCTTGGGACAGAGGTGTCCTGTCTGCTGCTGGGGTGTGTGCTCCTCCTCTTGCCTATAGAACCTGTTATAAAGCACTATCACCCTGGTCTTTCTCTCCAGAGGACATACAGACACCTTCAGCACAGCCCCTAGAAGCCTGGCATCAGGAGAGGTGAGCTGATCTCAGTGTTGGCTCTCTTTCTACCGTTAGGCATCCTTCTTGTTTTCCTGGCCTTAGAAATGTCATTTTTTTCTTCATTAAAAAAACAAAACAAAACTGTTGAGCCTCCTTCCTGTTCCAACCACCCCTTTATTCTGCTTCCCCACTTTTCCTGACCCTAGAAACTGAAAGGGCCAGGACAGCTTCCATACATGTCAACGTTTTCTGCTACAGATTTCTCCTTAACATCTTTGAAAACCACTACCACCCTGTATTCCAGCATGGACCGTTTATCTTGTTTCTCTCTAGAGAGGAGAAAGCATTTAGTAATTGATCTAAGACTCAAAAGGTGAGCATCTCAAAAGGAGGCATTCAGATGCTTTGGATAACTAACTTCTGGCCTTTTTCTAAGTGCTAGACCAAATGTTCTACAACACTTAATTCTCATGCTGACTCATTAACTACTTTTTTAAATCATCATCATAGGCTTGCCCTTGCTATACAGGAAACAGCAGCGCAGAAAGGCTGACTAACTCAAGCAAGCAATAGAGCTGTGCTCTGAACACAAAATTGCACTTGCAGTATTGGAAATTGAGAGAGGTTAAAGATCAGACACATAACTAGCTAACTGAAGACCTGGAGCTCAAATATTAGGTGTGCAAATAGAGAGCTCTTCACTACTGGCTCTGTTATTCTTTAGAAGGAGGGAGAACTGAGAATCCACAAATCCAGAGACTGGGCTGGAGATTTCAGATAGTTGAAGATCGTGGGCTTGGGATAAACATAAGTAAACTTGGTTGTGGAGGTTGGTACAGTAGGAGGAGGCTGTTACTAGGCTACTATGTAACCAGGACTGAGGAGGGGTGAAGGAGGAGAGAGAAGTTGAGGGGAGAAGAGAGCTTAACCCAGTTGCTCATTGCACCTAGGGCGTGCCTTACATACAATCCCTAGGAAAATTAGCTGTGCTTTGTGATCTTGGGTGCTGTGGCTGCTGCTTGCTGGAGTATGTGGGAGTTGGGGGAGGTGGACAGACCCTTCTTTCTGGCAAGGGCTAGCGGACTTAGGTGACAACCTGTTGCAGACCTCGGTTTTGACTGCAAGACTTGAGTTAACCAGTACCACATTCACGTGTTTCCCATCCATTAAGCTGTCTTACCTCTGACATTCCCACTCTGATACCTCTTGTATCTGACTGTGTCACCTCCCAGGCCTGAAGCAAAGCTTCCCGAATGGGAATAAAGGAGGAGGAGGAGGAGGAGGAGGAGGAAATCATGGCTTTTCCTTTTATCCGTCTAGCCTGGCCTCCTGCAAACTCTTGAGGACCGGTTGGGTGGGGAGGCAGACAGATTTTGCCTACTGTATCTTCCAGCGCCTCCATACAGAACTCCTCAGCCTTCACTGAGCCTCCTGGAGAGCAGCGACACTTTCCAGCTTTCCCAATTAGGAAACAAAGGCAGCGTTAGTAACCACAGGCATCACTGGCATGAGTATTTGCCCTCTACCAGGCATTTCTGTGCACTTGCAAGTAGAAACTCGGCCCTCGCGGTAACATCATA